TGTTGCATTGTCTAGAACGTTATTCACTTATTTGGACCAAACGGTCTTGTTATCACATTTTCCTCAATATATACCACTTGAAAGTATGCATGCTAGAATGCGATACTTGCAGGAGTACGAAGCGAATGTCTGCTTAGGAAAGTTCACAATTCGTCCTTTTTCCAGTCTTTACTATTTTTTCGCATGCAATATCTACTTATTTTATGGGGTTTCTCGTTGTTTTCTCGTGTAACATCTACATCTATGCAAGGTTAAGGCCGGGGCGCCAATGGCAGGAAGTGAGCAATGCAGTTGAGGATGTGGAATCGCCACAATGCCATGTCGTCATGCTCAAAAGGGCCAATGCTGTAGGTCTGAATGAATTGCTTTGCAGCAATACAAACGAAGACTCCGCAATCATAGCCGTTGTGTTGTTGGGGCCAAGGAATCTCCATGTCGTGTAATTGACCTTGACACCATCCAGGGTATCGACAAAGCGTTGCAAGGTCGTCAGGACTGTCGGACGGGGACTGTGCAATGAGTTGTAGAAGCCGTAACGCTGGTGGGTAAAATCGAGGATAACAAGTATCCAGTGACCAGGAACAAGATGGGATAGATCATACATCGCGTTTGAGCGCGCGGTAGGATGACCTCCTTAAGATTCGGGTGGCTTGTTCGAGACTTGGATCGTTCGTCATGCTCTCGAAGAAGTGATTGTCCAAAAAGGCACATCTTGGCATAAATTGCACCAGGCTCGCCATGAAACGGTTAATCACGTCCTCACCAATCCAGGCATCTAGTGAAAGAAGCGATTCCAAGTTGAGATCGCGACCCCGGGCCATCGAAACGCAACTTAATAATCTCTCCACGCAAGACAAGTCTGGGAGCGCCCGACGCTTCGCTTTGCCTTTGTTTGCCTTTGTTTCGAGGAGGCGGAAAACTCAACGACAACGTTTCAAGGGCGTCGTCTATGGAGGTGCTGTGGTGCTGCAATGATGCTTGTGAGAACAATTCCTCGATACCACGTTTGTGACATGCAATATGCGTGCGAATTACTTAAGTACAGTACATCACTGGTGCTTTGTCGCAACTGCAATGACATTGCATCACAGAGTAGTACCGTTTAAATCCACGGTGAATTGCTACGGCACTAGAGATATTTTACAGTTATACGTATAGTACTTGCATCGTAGCGATTATCGTTGATAATCATCGCAAATTTCCCAAAACTAGAGTAATCGAACAAAAGGCGTCGATTATTTTTACGGCAAAAAAAGCCAGGAGTAACAATTCTCAGTTTACGTTATCGGCATTGCACACCGAGTGATACCATTTTGATCTCTCAACTTTGGACAGTATAAATGCGGCACTTGCAGAGGTCAATGTGCGCGGGTTAAGCAAGACACGATCGTCAGGTTTTCACCCTCAGTAGAGTCTGGCGAACAACTCGAATAGAGTTGTACCACAGGTGTTTTACAACAATAACAATGCATGACGAATTGACAAGAGAGAGTCGGATGCGGACGTTGTGAGTAAACCTACCAGGTAGTCATAGTTGGTTTTGGTGTTGTTGTTGGAAGCACATTTTCGCATTCGACACCACTTTCACAAGTCATGAAAGTACACACGTGCATCTTTGCGGTGTCATTAGCTGTGGCGACCTTCCGCGAGGCGGCGGCAATTGGACAACAATGGGTACAGCACCCGTGCACCTAAAACGTGGACACCTGCACCTACGATTGTCGACTACATCACGCGCAATCCTACGACCACGGAATCGCCTGAACCTACCGATGAACCCGAACCTACTGATGAACCTGAGCCAACAGAGCAACCAGAAGTACCGGAACCGACTAATGGCTACTCAACCCGTGCTCCTCGTACGAGTACAACAATCCGACCTTCAACATCGCCGACAACTATCACCCCGACGACCACCAACACCGCATCTCCTGCAACCACCGCCGTATACGCTACTACCACGGTGAATCCGAAGACCACCCGTCACACTACCACCACCACGGCTAAGCCCACCACCACTACCGCCAAGCCCACGACGACCTCAGCAAAGCCCACGACCACCACTGCCACCTCCACTACCACGACGGCTAAGCCTACCACAGCAGCGACGTACCAAACCCTTCCACCTCGTACTACCACTACGGCTACGCCTACCATCACCACTTCCAAGCCAACCACGACCACCTCCAAGCCCACGTCCACCACTGCCATTCCCCTGTGCCATTCCCACTACCACGGCTAAGCCCACCACCACTACTGCCAAGCTCACGACCACCACTGCCATTCCCACTACCACCACTTTGAATCCTACCACTACCACGGCTAAGCCCACCACCACCTCCAAGCACACGACTACCACTGCCACCCCACTACCACGACGACTATGCCTACCACAACAGCGACGTACCAAACCCTTCCACCTTGCGCTACTGCCACTGTAGCACTGCGGGAGGAAGCGTGTGTAGTTGAGGGCAAAATGCATAATGAATTAACAGAAGGTCTACAAAGATCTCCTTAATCCTCATCACTATGAAATCTTAATCTACTTCACTACTTCTACACTAATATGCACTTTTGTATACAATGGATGTGGGTGCGGTTGAGACATTGGGGGAACTTCACTAGACTAGCGATTCTAGCGATTCTAAGCCATATTTGCCCTTGAGACACATTCCAGGCAAGCATTAGCTAGGGTGCGTCATGAGCCAGGTACTTAGGAGCTGGGTACGGGCAAGGTGGTGGCAAGCCGTTAACCCACCTGTCACATCGCTACAGCCACTGCAAAGCCCTCCACAGCAGATGGATATCATACGCTACCACCTCGCACTACAACGTCCGCGCCTACGACCACCACGGCGAAACCTAGTGCGACGCCGACTGTGACGCCCCAACCAACTTCAAACTACGAAACAGAGCGCCCTAAAACCACTGTGGCCCCCCAGCCAACGTACGCCACGTCGGCCCCTCGCCCAACGTCGTCTGGATATTCAATAACGTTAGGATAACTTGCACAGGCAAGAATCGAATGTGTTGATTTTGAATAGTTCATCCAAGTCCACACGAAACCTTGCATTTTCCTCGCTTGAGACACTTATGTATATTATTATGCTATGGCCTACATACTATTAATAGTACAGTACTACAGTAGTATTCCTTTAACAGTTAATCTACCCTTCGGCTACTGTATTGGGTGAATATAATTGCTACTGTATGATACAACGTATACAATGTTCCACGATGTATCATACACTTCGAAGTATCATTTATCATATCTTAAAAAGAATACTAATGTTTTTTATACTTGAAGTAGTAACGTACTACCGGTACGTAGTATATTATATATATGAAAGTTATATGGACCGCCAGATAATAGATCGTATATATATATATATGTATATATATATGAAGTAGTAACGTTATATGGACCACCAGATAATAGATTGTTACCCAACAAATAGGATGCTACCACGTCGCATGATCGCTTATACTAGATACAACATAACGAGAAATTCATTGACGATTACTGCGGCTGCGTGGTCAGGAAGATCGCAAAGTGCAGCGCCGCCCCAATGCCTTCGACAATGACGATCCACGTCGGGAGTTGGAAAAACTGAAAGTTCTGAGCGCTCAGGGCAAACAAGAACAGCAACGTGAAGCCGCGGCCGAGGTAGTTGCCAAGGAACGGGAACCACGTGTCCAACGTGATCCCGAACACGATGCTTTTCAAGTCGTACAGGACCAAGCCCGCACCAAATGCCATGAGGTATAGCCCCAAGATGACTACATCTGACGTTAGACATACATCGAAGGTACGTCGACATACCCGACGAGAGGCTCAAGTGCAGCAGGATGCCGAACCCTTGGATGACTGTGAGACCCGCGACGATCGTGTAGATGCCGCTGACCCACACGTCCAAACGCGCACCCAGCGGAGACAAGTTGGATCTCGAGTTGTTTGCTTGGGGCCAGCCGCTTTCGTGGCCCGAAAAGCTGTCGGAAGGGTCGTATTGAGGAACCGCGTATGGATTCAGCCCGCCAGATGGCACCGAAGCCACGTATGGCACGTTGGCCGTACCCACAGGAAGCGATGTATCGTTTTTCTTCGGTCCCGCTGCCGCAGGGGCGGAATCGTCCACGAGCGGCGCCTTCAAGCTGTTGTCGTCGACGTGGCCGTGCATGACGCGAGTGCGACGAAGCGAACAATACGCAAAACCCCCGAAGAATATCCAATCGTCCGGATACCTAGGAAATTAAAGTGCGTATTTGTATTTTAAATATATGAAAACACATTTTAAATATTTTTGAAACGACATACTAGAATTTAAAACGTTTTGACTACCTGGCGTTGGAGGAAATTATCCGTACAGAATCAGCTCGACTATAGTTTAAAACAGGGTTGTTCAATTTAAAACGACAAAGCACATCCGGTTACTGTATCCGGCATGTGTCAAGGTTGGTAACGCGGCGTCGTCCTTTACATACCGACGGCGACTGCGTTGCGCAGTTTACGAGTGGTCGATCAACAGGATGGGGTGCGGACCCAGCAAAGAAGTGGAAGGCCGTGTGTACACTCCAGTGCAGACACAACCACCGCCTGAACCTGTGGCACATCCCCTTCGTGCGGCAGTGCCGAAGCCCGTCGTGGCCATGGCGCTGCCTACCCCCGCGTCGGTGCCACCGCCCGTAATCGTACCCAAAGACAATCAACTGATCAGACAACAACAGAAGCAGCTCGCGCAAACGGGCACTGTGACGTTCACCGAGTTCAAGGATGGCGAAAAGGTTGTCGTGGACTCGATCTTGGACTCGAAGATCCACTTGCGAATGGCGGCAATCAACTTTAAGGAACTCAAGCTGCAAAAGATCATTGGCCAAGGCGCGTTTGGCGAAGTGATCAAGGGCACATACCACGGCACGCCCGTTGTCGTGAAGCGTATGGTGCGGCAGAAGATAGACCCGGACAACATTCGCATGTTTGCCGACGAGATTCAGCTCATGATGAACCTTCGTCACCCCAACATCGTCCAGGTACATATATACATACCTATGTCTACGTCAAACCAACGTAATCGGGCTTCTTATCCTCGTACTTGGTAGTTTATCGGCGCCAGTTGGAACTCGTACTCCAACATGTTTGTGCACATCCTACCATACCACATACCTCGCCGTCCATATCCCTGACGTGTGCTATGTACTACGTAGCTGCTTTGTAACCGAGTTCCTCGACCGCGGTGACTTGTACTCGGTGTTGAAGAACCCGCGCATCCAGCTGTCGTGGAAGCAACCCCTGCTGTCCATGGCCATCGACATCTCCCGCGGGATGGCGTACTTGCACTCCATGGACCCGCCCATCATCCACCGCGACCTCAAAAGCATGAATATCCTCGTCAGGTGTTGTGCCCTTTCCACGAAATCAGAGTGTCGGTCTTCTTTTTGTGGCCATTCTATTGAAAAAGTCGCGACGAGTGATGGTCAATCGGTTATTTTTTCCATGTTTACACAGGAGTGTTGATCCTTGTTTCGACAAATGATAGTTCGTCGTTTGGCGCAAAGATTTCCGACTTTGGGCTAAGTCGGGAAAAGGTGCTGGACGACACGATGAGTGTCACCGGTACGCCGCTGTGGCTGCCGCCAGAGATGATCCGCGCCGAGCGGTACTCGGAGAAGGCCGACGTGTACAGCTTTGGCATCGGTATGTCTCCATGATCTCACACGCATCCCGTCGTTCACCGCGCCGTCTAGTGTTGACTGAACTCGATACTCGCCGCATCCCGTACCACGACATCAAGAACACTGGCACGTCCAAGAAGCGCGTAGGGCTCTCCCCCTCTAGCGGAACATGAAGATGTTGATATGCTATATGATTGCTAGATTGCCGGCAGCACGCTCATGCACATGGTCGCATACAAGCAGCTGCGACCCAACATGAGCGCGACGTGCCTCGACAGCGTGCGCGACTTGTTTGTCCGGTGCACGTCCGACGACCCCGACATGCGACCGACGTTTGAAGACATTATGATCGACCTGGAAACACATGTCAAGCGCGAGATTCTGCAGCGCGCGGTGCGTACATATCACGTCGTGATATCCACAAGATGATGATGGCGATGGAGGGGTTCACATGGTGTCGATGTATGTAGGTGAACGACGCGATTCTCGTCGACCTGAACGACCCCCTTGTCGCACAAGAGCTAGGCGTCAACCATGTGACACAGTACACGGACAACTCGGAGTGATTGATCGCTGCTGCATCTGGAAGTTGCCGTCGTGCATAGCAGTCGTTTACGAACAATTTATGTATATGTGTGGTCACCCAAGTACATACTGTAGCATGCCAGTGACTGCCGATATACTGGCGTGGCTGTATTTCGTTCGACGGGATAGTGAGCCTTGCACCAAGTTAGCTAGCTAGAATCGGCACAAGGATGCACCAAAGGAAGGCGGCGGTAGATGCTGATTGTCATGTCAGGGTTGCCTGGGGGGATGAATGGACGGTGGACGTGCGCCTGCCTTCATGCGGCATGGCGTTCCTTTCACGTCAAAGAGCGTTTTCCGCGGATGAGGATGCAGAGGATCGACGTGTGTGTGTCGTTGCAGTCGGTTGGGCGTCGTCGCACGGATTGCTGGGTTGTTCGATTTCTCACGACGGCCAGAAGTGGCCTCCCCCAGACGAAGGAAATCGCGCATGCACTTCGTCTTGGACGTCTTGCTTTAAGAACGTCACGATGTCGGCAAAGCTCGGACGGTCAGACGGCGTGGCGCTCACACATCGTGTGAACAGCGCCCGGACGGTCGCGAGGCCGTTCACGGCCATCTGGGGCCGGAGTCCGTCGGTGGCAATGCGTCGGAGCAGTTCCGTCGACGCTCTGGTTGCTTTCTACCACCACTCTCCGTCATGCACATGTCATCGTCATCGCAAGGTCTACCTCCATGCTCCCGTGCTTTGTCGACCGAAGGTGGCGGCTGCCCATGTCCTCGTACGGAAGTTTGCTCGTGTCCATTTCAGAAAGCACTACATACATTCCCACGTATATGAGTGTTTGTCCCGTGTTCTTTTTACAGTACGTACAAATGCCAAAGCTGAACACATCCGCCGATTTGCCTGACGCGAGCCCGAGGATCCGCTCCGGCGCCATCCACCTCGTCCCACCGACGCCAGAGCTTCCTAGCGCGGACAACGGAGTCGACGCAACGTCGGCGACCTTGCCAACATAGTTGGAGCTACCAGGATATGCCATGATCCTCCCGTCGGTACAGAAGGCGACGAAGGAGAGAGGTACCTGACATGCACATGCATGCTCTGTAGGTCGCGATGCAGCACAGGTGGATCCATTGCATGCAGATACATCATGCCCGTCGCGACATCTGTGGCAATGCGAAGCAAGTGCTTGTGCCATGCCAATTTGTACTTGGAGCTACGCAGCATCGAGTACAAGTCGCCGCGCTGGGGCAGCTCCATTACAAGGCAACAACAGCTATTCCAGTAAAAAACGTAATTAAGATAACGCCATCCGATATGGACGTCAGAGTGACGACGATACCTTGACGGCGACGCTGTCCAAGAGGCCCCGATAAACTACCCAGCAGTAGAAATTACATCATGCTTCGTACAGTCATGTTGAACGATGTACCTGAACGATGTTGGGGTGCTCCAGCCGCATGAGCAACTGAACGTCGTCCTTGAAGATGCGAAGGCGGCGGTCGTTGAGCTTGGACGCGTCCAAGCGATGGACGACCACCGGCATGGCTTGGTAGGTTGCGCGATGGACGTTTCCGAAGATCCCCGCAGCTCGACTGGCGCTTTGAAGTTGGAGATGTTCGTATGGAATGGAAATTGCCGCGAGCAACGGGTCTGTGTCGAGGTCCTCGATCCACGAAGGCCGACACGTCGACATGGAGGGCTTGACGATGATCGTGTGGTGGTGGTCACCTGTCACAATGGAGGACGACGATTGCGACGAGTGGGATGTGTCGATGTCTGTTGCTGTGGTGATGATTGTTGGGTCGACATGGCTCGACTCGAGGACATAGCAAGCGTCGTTGGTGTTGGCGGTAGGGTGCTGCTGTAGGTCGTGCGCCTTCACGTGACCCCCTGCGCTTGCTGCCACATCTGCGGGTTCGTCGGACCTGGAGTGGGAACACACGCATCCCATGTTCAAAAGTGCGAGCTTGTACTGATTGTGGTGTTCATGGTGCTGGCCTCACCACCATCGCCATACCCGCCACACTCCCATTACATGCACGGAGGTTGGTTCACATTGCGCACCGTAGTCGGTCCAAATAGCTGGACATAAATATCCAATCAATAGTATCACTTTACCAATACAAGTATCATTTTTGTATTTTCGACCAATCCACAGCCAGAGTACAGCAATAAAGTGATGTCTCGGTCAAAATAGTTGTTCTCGACCCTGAGAAAAACAAATCACCCCATGATTTCCCATCCCAGATCGTTCTGCCGTGCATCTTGCTTGCACAGCGCAGCCATGTGGCGGTCGTGCGTAATGCAACCAACCCCAGCAACCAAGGGGCCTGTCTTGCAAAGGAGCTTGATGCATACCGTATCATCGTACTTGTGTTCGTTCAGTGTATAACACGAGCGTTCAGCTTGGTGCTACAGTAGCTAGCGAACATGAAGCCAGCTACAGCTTCCAGTGATGGCCTGCACCCAGTGTGTGTACATTGGTGCATGTTGGTTCGCAGGGCTGTGTGTACAAGCTCACGCTGCTGTTTCGCAATTGGGATGGTCGGGTATGTATACGTACATAGTATAGTGGTAATGCAATAATCCTATCAGCACGACAGACGCACACACACACACCTATACTTACAAGTAGGTGTAGTTCGTTATTATCGATGTACACTGCCCCCATAGTTGCGGATACAGAGCAAGGTAACGACAGCCGAGCACGTCATTTTCTTTCGTTCAGCGACCCACTGGTGGATCTGGTCGTTTTGCCTTGGCAGTTGCCACCAAATGTAGCCGCCGGCTACAACCGTGAAGCCGTATAGCATGGCCAAATGCAGCACGCCATGTCCAAGTGTATGACTTGATGCGTGCAACAGATCCTGCAGGTACCACCACAGCTAACGCCAGAGCTGCATGAAACCTTTGCCGACAAGTCGGGCCTTGTAAGTGCCATCGGCTTTGAGTTGAATGACCCAGCGACACAGTAGAACCGGCTCGTCATGGCGATCGCCAGAGCTGTCCATCAACCAGGCGGCGCCGCCCGATTACTACTGTACACGAGCAGAAGAGTGGTGATACTCCTTGTCCAGTACGTGTGCACGGGTACGACTGGAATGTGCGGTCATGTGCTTGGCTTTGTATGTGGCGTTGAATTGTACCGGGAGCCGTCCTTGTGATCTACGACGTGTGGCGCAACCTGTGGCTTGTCCTGGCCACGAATCAAGTACGATATGTGAGATTTATGGTCACGCAATTCGTGACCACTCTGTCGTTTGTGGAAGTGCGTAAGCACATCGACGACAACGTGGCGCGTATCAACAAGGACGCGATGGCGTTCACGCTGTTGCGAACCATGGCTGAACAAGTGGGCTTGCGTGAATTGGATCGTGTTTTGATGTGGAGGTTCACAGCGTACGATGACTGTGAAGTCGCGACGTACTTAGCCACTTTGCACGGCATCACCGTTGGAGTCGCAGGCGTACTGTGGTGGGCCCTGCCAAGTCAAAAGGACCACGTCCACCAGTGGGTGACACAAGGACGAAGGTACCCGAGGGTAGCTCTCCTTGTCCTTATAGCTGCGATCGTCAAGAGCATGTGCTTATTATTATAACAACACGCGGGCATAGTCTAATAACAAAGCAGTCTATTGTATTGTTGCCAACTACTGGCGATAATGCTGAGCTTCGTAACATGTAGACGAGTGTCGTTGAAGGAACAATCAATTAGGTGTCGCTGGTTTCACTGTATATCCATTGGACGAGCCCCCCCCTAACATCCCCCACCCCCCCGGCTTTTGAATCTCGTGATGAAATTAGTATTACTACGACGTAGTAGTAGTTTGAAATACTCTGAGTAGCTAAGACACTGACATGCTATTTGGAACCAACACGTTCTTGTTACTGAAACCCTTTCCATCCATGTTTCGTAGCGACGGCGTGCCGATGGTCCCAGTCTTTGCAGCAGTACTTGTCCACACACGGATTGCCTTCAACACACGAACAGGACTCGACCTTTTCCCGCACGAGAGTCATCCGTTGCCGCTCCTCTTTCTCCACCCGATCCTTCGCCTTCCCCGCAGAAAACTCGGCCTGCCGCTTCTCATACGCTGCACGCTCGGCCGCGTCTTCTTCAATGTGGATCCAGTACGTGGCCCCGACCTCCAGGTCTTGGTACACTCCCAAGGGCGCTTCGTGAACCATGGGCCGATCGGTTAACCCTTGGGCTTCAAAGGAAAAGTCGGACGGACTGAATCGACTCAAGTGCAAAGTGCTGTTGGGGAACACCCCAGAGAGAAAGTACTGGCCGTCAATGGCTTGCGCGGTGGTGCTGCCTCCGGATATGGCAAACTCTTTGGTGTAGTGGTTGTAGCGAACAAGTACCTTGCCATCTTGCTGTTTGGAGGTCTCGGTCACGGGTGGCTCCAGTGCAGCGAGTGGCGGTGAGCGGGGCTCGGCTAACGACACACCTGATTCGGGGGGAGGAGGTGTTGTCCTGAGTTGCTCGTTGTCGTTATGTACACTGCGAGGCTGACACGACTGCTTCTTGGACGGATTTGTAGCTGGCTTGACATGCGCTTTCCTAGTCTTCGCAGCACTAATCTGTGGCAGCTTGGTCGATGACGTTGCCGGTTTCGCTCCGCTGAATGTCCCACTGGGCAAGTTCTTTCCCTTGGGGCAAATGCAACCTCGATTGCCTGGCCCAAGTGAGAGAGACCAACCATCTTTAGTCATACATACAGGTATTATGTATGTACTTGCAACACTGTCTGTACCTACCTTGGCAGCGCTTGAGTGTACATGTCGACCGTGCACTCATGCGTTTGCCATGGCAATTATTAATGTTATGTAGAATTGGATAGTAGTGCCCACGGTCGGTTTCAGAGCCGTTACACATGCACTGTGCACTTTTTCGTGAGTCAAGGTGGCATCGAAGAACTAACTGGTATAATACATACTCCAAAGTACTAGTACAATGTACCACGTACAGTAGTATCACTGAAGTACATACTAACAGTAAGTAGTATTAATAGTACAGTACAGTATTGTCGATTTGCTGGGAATTTCCGAATATGGAGAGGTTCAGAGCCCAATTTCATAAACCACGCGACGGCGTTTGATTGGTTCGTCTGTGAGTTTGGCAGTTTCACATCTGCGCGCCATTTCCAAACACACGCCCTTCTGGCAGCTTGTCGATACCATGAGCGCTATTATGTTGTCTTCCACCGACAAGCCAGCCCCAACACTATGATGCTACTGTATTCCTCTACGACTACTACTTCCTAGGGATGAAGAAGTCTTGTTTGGCAGTCATCTATGGGAAGGACGAGAAAACGATTCATTTCACTCCACGACACACCACCACAGTCGAACGTTGCCAACCTGACAGCGGACGTGTTGCGCTGACCGACAGTCTTTTTGACCATAGGCTCAAGTGTGAGCTCGTACAACGAGGTTGAGTGCGCCCCCACCTCTGGTTGTGGGCTTGGACGTGGGCTTTGTGAGGACATCGTGTTCCTCGCGGGAGTGTCTGCAAGTTTGTGTCCGCATGTATGTTGTGGAGTGAGTTGCAGTGCGTCACGTTTTCTGAGTAGCCAATCATATTCTAGTATGAATGGATTAGCCAATGGGCGAGGTTTTTGATAGGTTCAGTCGGCGAGATTCGATTCGACGGAATCTGGAATTCTGTA